CACAATGAAATCGCTTCTCTTCTTAAAACGTCTGAGTCGCTTGTTTTCAACATGGCGGACAGCTTCTTCATCTCGGTTGGATCGCTGCTTCACGCAGCTGCAGGCCGGTGGGCGTGGAGTCGAAAGCAATTCACTGAAAGAAGGGTTTAAAGCCCAACTCGCTTGAAGTAATCCGATGGATATCAAACGTCAAGCAGGAATCTTTAACTCTGCACGATAGAAAGTGGATTAAGAGAATATATAAAATAATCAATGCGTGTCACCATATTTTAAAGATAATTTTAAGAAGGTGGACCAATTTCCAATATATTAATGAAAAATCAAAAGCTCAAATGACGCTAAGTACAAAGCGTTTATAAATCTCGACTGGCTAAAAAATTCGTGTAGGCCTACTTCGGACTGAAGTGTGATTTTATACTCATATAACACTTCCTATTTGCTACTTGTGGTTTGTATTTAATGTAAAGTAAAAAAACAACCAATCTTTTTTTACGATATTAACATTTGAAACAAAATATGAGCGTATTAAAGTTCCTATGTTTTACAGTGCATTATTAGTCTTAGGTCTGTATTGTTTGAAATTCAAGTGAGTAAGGAAAAATTGCTTTAACTCTATTTATTTGCACGAAAATAAACAAATAAATAAACAAAGCACGGAAGTAAGTCCGTATTCGTCTGTAATCTTTAAGTGGGTTTTGAGTTCGTTGTGTAGACTTGTTATCGAGTCTGGAGTTACAGCCTTCATCTCGGAAGTTGATTTTATCATGGATTTCCTAAGGTAGTGTAAACATTTTAAGTGTAGCTTACAACGTATGTAGACAGAATAATATTAAAGTTAATCATCATCTTGTTATTAGAAGCGTTTAGCTGTAGGAATAAACAAGGTCGGAAAGGTGCAGGTCACTCTATGGAGTACACTAAAATTCCAAATGTGTTCTTTACGCCATGTCACGAGCGATGAAGTCAGCAGGTCGACCATGGGCAAACAAATGAAACAACAATGTGATCCGAGGTCGTTTTTGTAACAATATGTTGCCAAGATCACTGATGTAAGAGTCTGAGGCAACACGTGACAGACAGAGAGACATGGGCGCGCCCATAATATGTTCTTCACTTATGCAAAACCGCAAAAAATATTAAACTGATTGGTAATGATTCATTCGCTGTTGTTAATGCTATTCGCGTATGTAACTTCCTTTTTGTCTACTCCAAGACTTAAAAAGTTTACCACTCGAATAGTAAACATAAAAGCATGAGTACCAACTGCATTTAATTAAATACGAACTCCTCGGAGCAAAGGCCTTTGCGAAAAACCAATACTATGTCTAGTTGCTCAGCTGGTAAAGGACGTCCGCTCCATTTGTGAAACTCGAACTTCATTGTCGTGTACCCACGAGCACACCAGCGCACTAAACCAGATGAATTCAGTCCACACACTTCAGTAAAATTTCTCTAGGATTCATTTTAATGTTTCGCCTATACCATGCCTAATTCATCAAAACTGTCGCTCCGCTTTAAGTTTTCCGACAGTTGACTTTGATTAAATGCTTATTAACAGCATTTAAATGGGACCATTTCACTAAATCTGGGATATACGTGGTTTTCTTTACAATATCAAGAGACTATGGACATGAAGGCTGTTCGCACAAATTTACCATTAAAATACCTCTTAAAAATTAGTTAAAGATAAGGTGCTGATTAATTTTTTAGATACCTTACGAACGCCTCGAAAGCAGAATCTTGTCCAAATTTAATCCTCTTATTCTTCGTCCCTCTGCACTAGAGCCAAATCTTCTAAACCTAGTAGGTGTTGGTCTGGTCACTTATCAATTTCATTTAACTTTTCATAGCCATGGTCCTTAATACAGTGTCGTTAAATAATAAAGCCCTGGCCTATGGGCATAGGCTTACGGCGTTAAATACGTTGGAGTTGGTCTTGAAGTAAGATACCAACGTTTCGGAGGAACATAATGCTTCCATCCTCTGGGCTGAAGGTAGATGCAGTATGTTCCTAGAAAACATTGTCATCTAGCTACAAGCCCGCAGGGCGTTACAACACAGAAAACAACGGGGCAAATAAAAAAATATAGTATCGTGATAATAATCGAAAGAAATTATTGGAAAATGATTTATTAAATATTTAGTCCATCACTTGCATTAGTTTGATCTACTTGTAACTAACTAGATGGCTTACCGAACCCGAAGGTTCATCACCGAATTAACCTAAGCCCTCCACCGGACCCTGTCCTGGGCCAACAAAATCCAGTTTCCTTCAACTCCCATCTCCCATAGATCCCGCCTGAGATTATCCTCCCATCTACGTCTAGGTCTCCCCAGCGGTCTCTTCCCTTCAGGTTTCCCAACCAGTACCCGGTACAAAACTCTTGTATCATCCATGCGCGCTACATGCCCAGCCCATCTCATTCTTCTCGACTTAATAACCCTGACAATATTAGGGGAGGAGTACAGATTTTTAAGCTCATCATTAAGCAGTTTTCCTACTTATACTGATTGTAAATTATTAGACTTGCTGAAAATGATCTCACATTTAAAAAAAATCAGCTGTGTATTTTATTCAATGTAGGACAGATAAGTCAGTAAAGTTACTCGCTATAATGTTATACGCCGGGGTTCATTTACCGGATGCTGGCGAATATATATATAATTTTTTTGCCATCGTCATAGATTATCTGTTTCGTATTTTCGTTGCTATAAACCTGCACCTTATGTAAATAATATAACATACGAACTCACAGCACAATTTGAAGACAGATAAAGCTGTTCAGGAAAGAAACGCCTTATGACAAGTAGCTATATCTCAGTGTAAACCTACAGGATCGACAGATAGTTTAGAGACCATAACGAATTTATTAAAATAATTGAGATCCAGTTTAGTATGTAGAAAATGTTCCGCTAACAGACGTGCAGCTGTACATAACCTACTGGCCTGTGTGAGAGTGTTAAAGCAATGGAATTTCATTAGGGAGTGAGATATTAATATGGTCGTGCCATAGCTCAGGCAGTTATTCGCAGTTTTTTTAAAGAGGAGGTCCGGTTTCGCGCCCAGGTCAGACTACGCAGGATTTGTTGTACACGAAGCCAATGGAACAGGCTTTCTTCCGTCATAGGCCCAGTTCCATAGTGACACAGTTTAACCATTGCAGCAATAACAAAAATAACATGACCACAGAGCGAAATATTTTGGTGTTTATGATGGTAACAGTGAAGAATTATTGTAACTTTATTTGTGAAATTTACACGGGAAATTGATATAGAAAGAGACGATGCTGTTAGGTTAGGATGCTGCAGATGATATTTAAATTCGCAATGAGTAGGTCTTCGGTGGTACAAGCCCAAATATCGATGTTCTAAAGACGAGTGCTTTCAATGAGCTACTTGCTGTGGATTCTTAGAGTAAGGTAAGAAAATAAATTGGGCGTCTTTAAGAAAAGGACAAGCCAAGATAGAAGAGAATTAGCACCCAAGAAAGAGGAAACAACAGAGAAACTTACACAACAATGAGCTTCAAAATTTGTGCGCAATTATTGATAAAATGGAGTGTAAAATGGACGAATCATGTAGCACGCACGTGGCAGTTTACACACAGGCCTACATAAAAATCCTAAACGGGATAGGTCACTTTAAACAGTTGAGCGTAGACTAGGGATAATATTAAAGTAGAAATGGTTGTGGCGTTGTGGACTGGATTAAAGCAGCTGAAGATTGGATCTTTTGCCTCTTGTGAATACGGTAATAAACCTTCTGGTGTCTACATCAGAGCGTTACCCAGAAACGCAGTTGTCGTGTAAGGAAGGGAGACGGAATTATTGCACATGTCAAAGTTTTAAAATACGCGCATTCTGTTAGACCTAGCTATGTGTTGTAATAAAATTCACAAATAATTCCCCCTGATCTGACAAAGAACATGAACATCTTTTCCGCAGTTCTAGCTTGTAAATTAAGGATCAATCTGTTCAAGTTTTATCGACGAACCGGGTGCTGCGGAGAGGGCACTACGAAAGCTCTATTCGTGAGGCGTCGAGTGCTAATTCCGGTCTGGTTGTCGGACTGTCCTGACAGAGTAACTCAAAGGGAATTACGCAACATGTCTACGTGGAAATAGAGTATGATCGCCTCTTTCGAAATCCTTACCGGTACATCTGTTTATCTTGTATTATAACTGTGCAGAAGAGCAAGTATTCTTGGTTACCAAATATGACGCAAAAACAATTATCTAAACCATGGCAGACGAATCAGTTGCGTCCCGAGAGACAGATATTTATGATTTGAGGTTTTCGCAGTGGTGAGTATGAAGATTTCTGTCTTCTGGGTTGTTGCGCCGTGTAGTCTGGTCGATGTTCGCCAACGTTTCAGAGGCTCATGTTTGGCTTATTCATCGTCCTGATGACGGAGGCAATATGACCTCTGAAACGTTGGTTAACATCGACCAGACTACACAGCGCAACAACCCAGGAGACAGAAAGCTCAAGACAGATATTTATTCATTATATGACGCGGAATTCGATATTACAGAATAGAATGTTTTAACTACTGTCAAATCACGCGAGTCCACTAGAACGTGAAGCTTCGCTTTGTGGCGCGCCGTATGCCGCTTTTCCTCGGAGTGCGCCGCGCTGTAGCACACGACTCTGTCCCCCTCCCTCTAAACTTTGCAGGAAAACATCGGTGCTCTCCGGTTGGCTGTTCCCACGCCGGGGGGTGGGCTGCAGTGTGCGCTAGACTTTGCAAACTGTGTACAAGATAACATCGGATAGTACTCGTTGGCCAATCAGCTTCCAGAACAAGCTTTTTTCTACCAACCCCTCTCTTCAGATGTAGCATATACCAACTGTACTCAAATATTGCTCACAAATACAGACAGGGGCTTGTTTTATTCTTTCTGCTGTTGACGTGATGACGTGAGAGGGGGGAGCGGGGGAGGGGGAGGCAGAGCTGGACCATGCGGTGGCAGCAGCTAGTGGGATCAGTGGTGAGAAGTTGCGTGTGATGTTGAGACACCAAAAACATCCAGTCATCTGAAGAATGTGTAGCAACGAGAGGGCGGCCACGACGCCAACCAGCGGGGCAACTGGGGGCGCAGGCCTCCTACCATATCCCCTAGGAGCCCTAAAACAGTTAAACGAAGCCGCCACTGGTGTATCCGCCCCCGGGGCAGCCGCCGCCGCCAGTGGACTTCTACCGTTGGACCACTACCGCCTCCAATTATACAACTACGCAATGGCGGAACGATTAAGGTTCACACATCACTATCCCGCACCTTTGCCACTGTGTCCAGGTTATCCTCCGTACAACCCCCGGCTCGCCTTCTCCATGTCGCTCTTCCACCACCGAGCTCTTCAGCCAGAAGAACCGAAACCTCAACACAGCTACATCGGGCTCATCGCCATGGCGATATTGAGTTCCCCAGAAACGAAGCTGGTGTTGTCGGATATCTACCAATACATTCTAGACAACTACCCTTACTTCCGCTCGCGTGGGCCGGGTTGGAGGAACTCCATCAGGCACAATCTCTCTCTCAACGACTGTTTCATCAAGGCCGGAAGAAGTGCCAACGGCAAAGGTCATTACTGGGCAATTCATCCGGCCAATGTGGAAGACTTTAAGAAAGGCGACTTCAGGCGCCGCAAAGCTCAAAGGAAAGTCCGGAAGCACATGGGGCTCGCTGTCGATGAGGAAGGCGGCGATTCGCCCAGCCCGCCCCCAGTACCTTCTAGTCCGCCGCCTCTCTCTACGGTTCCCGGGCTGTGTTGGGC